TAAAGAAAAATGTAATAAAATAAGAAACATTTTGGTTGATACTATTGTCCCAGTAATCAAGAATCGATTTATGGCTGCTTCCACTGATATATGGTGCGATGACCATAAAAAGAACTCGTTTATAACAGTTAACATGCACTATATATCAGATGACTGGAAGTTAGTGAAGAGAAACCTATTTACCGCTAAATTTAAAGAAGTGTCAAAGACTAGCAAAGTAGTTAAGGATAAACTATTAAAAAAATTTCATATTTTTAATTTTAACACTAACGATTTTATTAATATAATATTTGTTACAGACCAAGGTAAAAATATTATAAAAGCATTGGAGTTAAATGAACGATTAAATTGTTCTTGTCATATATTATCTACAATTTTAAGAAATTCATTTAACTTCAAATATTTGGAAAGTAATGCCCCATTAATAAAATCAACAATAGATAATACTAAAATATTAGTGGGGCATTTAAAACAAAGTAATAAATGCCAGCATTTGAAAGCCCTTTATCAAGATATAGAAGTCCGCTGGAACTCTAAATACAATATGCTCAATTCTGTTTATTCTCAAAATGAAGAAATTTTAAAAGTTCTTCAAGAACATGGGGGATCGGAAAAGTATTATATTATAGACTTTCCGATCCTTCAGGATCTAGTCAAAATTCTTGAGAATTTTAACAGAGCTATTGTTGAGTTACAGTCGGACTCTTGTACTCTTTATAAAGTGGTAATTTGGTATTATGAACTTCTTGAAGTTTGTAATACCTTTCAAAGCGAAAAGGGAGAAATAAAATTGATTTTACTTAATATAAAGCATTTTTTAATTGAAAAATTTGTTTTACACAAGTATCATTTTATTTCTCTTTTTCTCTACACAGGTATCATTTTATTTCTCTTTTTCTCTGTCCCAAATTCAAGCAATTATGTATATTGTCAGGGACAGATCACAAGATGACGGAAAACTATATAAAAGATTATATTATATTACAAGAGGCTCAGGAAGTAAATGAAATACCATCGACTAGTCAAATTACGACTGTTGTTAAACAAACTGAATCGTTTTATGACAAATGGGGCGATGGTGTAATATGTCAATACCCGATGATGAATATTATAATTACATAAATAAAAAAATATATGAAACATTTAAGGTGGATAATTTGTTAGAGTGGTGGGCGGCTCATCAAAGCGAATTTCCAATTTTAGCAAAATTGGCAAAAAGGGTATTGGCAATTCCTGCTTCAAGTGCAAGCTGTGAGCGGAATTTTTCCACTACTGGGAGAATTCTTGAAGAAAGAAGAAGTAATCTTCAACCTGAAAAGGTAGATATACTCGCTGAAAAATATGGTAAAATAACTCATAGGTGAATTTTTGTATATACCAGGTCGAATATAATTTTAAAAAAATTCCGAGCCGGGCCTGAAATTTTTTTTTAAAAAATATCCAGGCCGGGCCTTAAATTTTTTTTAAAAAATATCCAGGCCGGGCCTTAAATTTTTAAATCCGGGCCGGGCCGTAAAAAATTTAAAACCGGGCCGGGCAAAAGGTGCCACTGCAGGTCTCTGGAATTTATATATGGAAAAAAGTTCACATTACAAACAAACCACAAGCCATTAATGAGTTTATTTCATCCAAGAAAAGATATACAAACAACAACTACAGTGAAAATACAAAGATGAGCTTTATTATTAGCAGGTTACCAATATGAAATAAAAGTCAAAAGTATTCGACAAATAGCAAATGCTGACATGTTATCTAGATTACCTATAAAGGGAACCCCAATATCAAAAGAAGAAATGCTAGATCAAATACAGGTGGGAGAAACACCTTTAAATGCAAGCGAAATTGAAAGAGAAACAATGAGAGATGATATACTTTCTAAAGTATGCAGATATACAATAGATGGATGGCCAATAAACTATGATGCATGTTTAAAGAAGTGTAGTCAAAGGAGAGAGGAAATTACAACAAAGAGAGGTTGTTTATTGTGGAGAACTAAAATGATAATACCACAATACCGAAACAACGAGTTAGACATGGTACATCAAGGACATATTGGAATGGTAAAAATGAAGATGAGAGCAAGACAATAAGCGTGGTGGCCTAATATAAACCAAGATATAGGAACATGAGTCGAAAAATGTAGAATGCCATGAACAACACGATATGCCTCAAAAGACAACATTTTAAAATTGGCCAAAACCACCAACAGCAGAGCACCGGACCATTTCAAAATCATTCTGGTAGTGATAGATGCTAGCGGTAGCTGGCCAGAAATAGTTCCCATGACTAGTACTACAACCGAAAGCACGATCAAAATATTAAGAAATATTTTTGCCAGATTCAGATTTCTTAAGATATTCGTTTCTGATAACGAACCACAATTCAGCAGCAAAGAATTCCATGATATCTGCGAAAAAAACGGAATACAATTAGTGCACGGAAGTCCTTACCATCCTCAGACAAAGGCATGGCCGAACGATTAGTTCGAACTTTTAAACAGAGCATGAATAAAAGAAACGAGAGGGATTTAGATACCATTCTAGCTATTTTTCTCTACAATTACAGAAATACACCAGGGGCAGAAAGTAAACAAAATCCCGCTGAAATACTACTAAAAATTAAACCTAGAGGATTGTTAGACCAAATAATCGAACGGGGGAACAAAAAGGACGAGAAGTTAGAATACTACACTCAAAAATTCGAGATAAATGAAAAAGTGTGGTCGCGCATTTACAATAATAAAGAAAAAAAATGGGAAAAAGCCATTATTAAAAGCATACTCGGATCACTACGATATGAAGTAAGTATAGAGGGTAAAACGATTATACGTCATACTGATCAATTAAGGAAAAGAACCGAAAATATATTGACTGATGAATACGAATTAGAAGAGAGACCCGAAGTGGAAGAGAGAACCGAAGAGAGAGTAGACAAAGATGACATAATAAGCAATAACGATTGAATCTAAAGGAGAGGGAGGAAGAAACTACAAGTCAAGATCGTTATCCCAAAAGAATACGAACGAAACCCAATAGATTGGGGATAAATGATAAGCAATGAATTGTTGTTTTGTATTTTTTGTAAAATGTTTATTTTCATTATTTATATTATCATATGAATTTGAATAAAGAAAAAAGGAGATTTTGAAAAATAAATAAAAAATTGCGATTTCGATATTTCCATAATTACTAAAAAAGACACAACATTAACCTTTTTTATTACTTGTAATTCTTTAGACAAAAAATTTTTTATATCCGCAATCGAAAATATTTAATATTGTAATAAATAGATAAATATTTTGTATTAAAAATATTATCTTTAGAAATGTCTTGTATTGTTTTACTTTCATAATTTGTATGCATAATAATATGAAATTCAATAATTGTTCAGAATATGCAAATTTCAATTAAAAAGGTATAATATATTAATATAAAACCCGGCCAAAGGCCAAGCAAAAGTGGGATGAAAGGCCCGCAAAATAGGACATATGGGGAGGCTTCATCTCCTCCCATAAATTTTTTAACGCCCCTGCCGGTCGCGATTGAAAAGTCTCATATTGCATGCAGAAAATAAACAAGAAAATTTGCTTTATACCACAATAAGAAACATTTTAATTTTTCAATATGAAGATTTTTATTGAATAATGAAAATATGATTAAAAAGATTGAATAATATTTGAAATAATTAAAAATAACTGGTTATTAGGTCGCCTATTAAAAATTAGAGGTGTGTTATGTGGAATTAAAGGGAAAAAAATTGGGATAACGTAATATATAATTTTTCTAAAGTGTTTGAGTCAGCAATAAAATAAACGAAACTGCGCACAAATTGAGCGTTTTAAACGCCCGGTTGCAAACAAATAATGCATTTCAAATGATAGATAAGTGAAAATTCCAGCTGACGTTAGAAACTATTATACTTATTTATTCGTTCATTTTGCACGTTGGTCCACGATCAGTTCTATAAGAATTGCGTTTTTGGAAAGAAAGCCGACAAAATCTTGTTACCCTGATATTAATAGTGAGAGATGGCATTAAAAATCCCTTCCTAGTTGTTTAATTGTAGGTAAATTAAATTTAATATATAACATGTAAAAAAATTACTTATCTTTTAAAATGGAATGTTTTGAAAATTAATGAAATAAAAAGGCAGACGATAATATAATTTACAAAAACCAATTCTTTTATAACTTAGTTAAAATTTGAATCAACGACACTAATAAAATCAATCTTAATTTAAACAAGGGATGCGTTACGTTTTTTTATTAAAAAAGCATTGCAAAACTAAAACACTCAATTTGTGCGCAATATAATTCAATTATTCTTTTCCTTAATCGTTGCACGAATGTGATTTGGTTAAAAATTAAAAATCAATATTCATTTCTCATGTTATTTTTAATATCAAATTTTTGTCCTGAAACATTTACATAATTCAGTCTGCCATTCCTAAGATTTTTGTAATTTGGTATATAATTTATTTGAATGATTAATGATGTCAATTAATTAATTATATGGTAATAAGCTAAGTATATAATAAGAAAATTTATAAAATATACCATATAAAAAATTATTATTCGCAAATTTATCGCCATTTGTGCTTCCCCGCCCCCACTTTTCTTGACTGGAGAAATGGGGGATGCGAAATAAATAAGAATGTAAAAAATTGCAGTTTCGGCTATTTGCATCGGTAAAAATTATAGATACAATCTGATACCGATACTTTATAAATACAGTTACTTTTTATTGGTAAGCCTAAAGTGTGATATCCATAACAATGTTGGCATCAAAAAAATTATCATAGATCGAATTTGCATCGTAAAAATTTTTTTTGATATTGATTGATAAATTCAATATTTCTCCATTATAAATTTTTACCCGATTATTTAAAAATGGTAAAATTATACAATATAATTGAAAAATTATAACTTAGATAAGAGTAGTAAGGAGCAATAGTAGAACTAGAAATATCAAACCCGAGTCGAATATAAAATATAATATTACCAGAGTATTTCATCTTCTGTGAAGGGGATTGCCGTAATTGGTTTATTAATTGTAAGTTAGCGTGAACGTTTTCGTTATCGTTGGCATAACTCGTGGATGTTGATGTTACTAATGAATGTGATGTGGAGAAGAATAAACATAATGCAAAAATAAAAATAGTCATGTATCATCCGTGATTAAAGCTTGTTTTTTTAATCGACAAAATAAAATTATTATCATACTTTCGAAAGGCTTGACGAGTTTGTTGCAGGAAAACTTACCCTCTTTTTCGAGCTTAGAGAGTGTTTCCTTTTGCTTGGTCACGATCATCCGTTCCTCCAGCTGCTCAAAATCGGCATTGACTTCTGGCATGGAAGGAAGATCGAATTCGTTTGTCAGCTATCATAAAATTTTAGCAACGATACATAAAAAAAGGTTTTATTATGGAATTGTAAAGAAGTTTAATTTGATAGAGGAAATGTTTTTTAAAAAAATTTGAATAAATTAAAATAAAATACCGAAATTGGAGTCAGATGTCTTGGTTTCTTGTTCCTAGGGGACCTCCTATTCTTCTGTTTTAGGGATATTTTGTGATAAGCAGCATCGTTCTTTAAGCTACAGCTGAATGAATTAGTTCCGAGTGATACTTCATAGGAAGAACCTTAAATGTGAGTAAAGATTTATGATAATAGAATTATTTATCAAAAATTTGATTGATGTTTAAAGGTACCGTTTATCAATAAACTGGTTAATTAATTTATTTTTTGAATTTTATTTTAAATATATATTTATCATGATAAAGTGCTGCGAGTTTTTTTGTTTGATTTATTAATTTAAATTAGGTTTATTTAAGGAGATAGTATCGTTTAGTAAAGCAATTAAATCTACCATAAATTTCATATCAAAAAATTTTTTTTAAACTATTTTACCATATGTTATTATTATACATAATATGAACGTATAAAAGTTTAATCTTAATTTAACTTCAATGGCCTAAAAAAAAATAAACTGTTTCAATGTAATACATACATACTTAGATTACAATATATACACACGCATATACCAAATTCCTAATAAACTTATTAAGGCAAAACTTTGTGAACCTGACGTAGTACAATTTCTCAGTCCAAGACTTAAAAACGCGTTTTATAATGTAGCATTTTTTTTAAAGTATGCCAAAACAAGAATCTCCTATTTTCAAAAAATGGATTTTATAATGTAATACGATATCTTTATCGTTTGATTTCACAACTCGTGTACTCTGGCATACATATATTATTGGTAGGAAGGATTAAAAATTTTGAAATGTTTGAAAATAATGTGTAATTTTTGATTTGTACATAACGATCAAATGTTTTTTCTTTTCAAAAAAAAAATGATTTTAGAATCAATAAAATATACAAAAAAAGTTTGAGTGTTTTATTATTATAATAAATATAATTATATTTTGGGTAAAGATCAATTAGTTCATCAATTTATATGTTTACAAATACATTTAAACGAAAACGGCAAGATATAAATTTTATTTTCCTAGGGTGATTAAAATAAAATAAAGCTAGCGCAAACTTTTGAATGAGGTATATTGAAGATAACATAACAATCACATTCTCACAGCAAGGTTTAATATTAATTACAAAATGGCTAAAAAAAGGCGACTATAATTTAGAAATTCATTTAAAGCTTTTAAAATATACAGTATTAATATGATTTGTTGTAACACATGTCAACAATGTGAATAAACATTCTTATATGGTGTTCAAACTTTCCATAATTATTGAAAAAACTTGTTGAGAAAATTAAATTTTTTTTTATTAATTATAAAAGTTTGAAAACTTAATGAAGACAATTTTTCAAAATTTGAACAGGAACGAATATAGCTTTTTTAATATTTTGGACATAGGTTTAAAAGAGAAAATGAGTATTTAAAAAATCTACTATAAAAATAATTTACTAATATTTTTACTTTTAAAGTATTATTCCATATTTTAATTTTATTTGTTAAGATATTTTTATGATCAATTCGAGACGCCAAAATTAAAAAACACTATTTATTTATTCTTATATATATATAAAATATTACACAATACAAATCAATTATAAATTCAATCATTTAAAGGAATGCATCGAATTCCATCTTCAATGAATTTTGTGGTGTGAGAATAAAAATTTGAAAAATTATATGTAAAATAGCTCCTCAAAATACGCGTAACAGTAGCAATAACTTCTATTCTGTTAATTGGTTTAGGATAATTTGATCGGTATTGATTTTTAAGCTATAATATTTTTTATGGTGTAGCCGTTATTATTATCTAATAATTCTGCTATTTTAGCTTGTAGTTCTGCGTTATCCTTCTTTTTCCGTCCTCGTTGTTTCATTATATAATCTTTTAATAGGTCGTCGTAATATTCAGGGAAGGTTTCCCGCTTGAAGCGATAAACTGAACCAAGGGATAAATTAAGGTCTTGGGCAATTGTCTTTGCTTTGGGCTGATCATCAATTGGCTTGCTCAGCCATATTTTAGCCAATTCAATTTTTTCATGACTCCAGTTACCCTTTTTTTTCCTCATAGGAATAGGATCAAGATTTGATTGTTCTTGAATATTCGAATTTTGATATCGATTAGTAATGTCAGAAAGACATCTACGGGAATTTGATGGACTGGATGAATTGCTTTGGTATCTATTTGTTATTTCAGATAACCCCCCAAGAGAATATGAAGTTTCATTAAATGTATCTAAAATTATGTATATAAAGTTAGTAAATAATCGAATATTATATTAACAAACTTAAACTGGAGAAAGATTTAAAATACTAGCGATAGTAAAATTTGACATTTAAAAGAAATAGAAATACAGATTTTAATCTGAAAAAAATTATTAGAAATTTAAAATTAAAATTGTCGAAAATTTATAAAAGTAAACATAATAAAGTTTTAAATCAAGTTAAATTACAAGTTTTTAAAAATAATAATGTTTTTCGCAACATGTTCTTTGAATTAAATTTTTTTTAAAAAGGATCTATTTTTCTCAACAAGTTTTTTCAATAATTATGGAAAGTTTGAACACCATATAAGAATGTTTATTCACATTGTTGACATGTGTTACAACAAATCATATTAATACTGTATTATATGTAAATTTAATAAATTATAACTCTTTGTCGGTAGTTTTGGTAAGATTTAGTTTAGCGTGGTAATTTTTTTTAAACTATAAAAAAAAAAGAAAACAAGATTGTATTTAAAATAAAATAATTTCATATAATATTTATTATATAAATTTTACGATGCCTCAATTGACAGAGGCGGTCTTTTAATTTTTTATCAGCGTTAGGCGGCGCGCCGATTTCGCCGCCGCATAATAAATAAGCGGCGGCTGCGGCGTGCTATTTATTTTAAAAAAATTTTAGAATTTAATTTATAATTCAATGTATTACATTTTTTTTATAATTTATTAGGGCACTCTTAATTCTAACATTATTAGTGTTGTTAAAGTAACTACAGTGTTTTGTGATGATTTAATGTAACATATTGACGATTTAATTTAAACACATGCATATATAATTATATTATTTCTTTTGTTGTACATTTGTAAAGATTATAATTATATATGCATGTGTTTAAATTAAATCGTCAATATGTTATATTAAATCATCACAACACTGTAGTTACCTTTACATATTTGCCAAAAAATAACTGTAACTAGTTATATTTTTTGATATATAACTGCCAAAAGTAACGAGTTACTTTTAAAAATATATATGTATAAATCTAATTAATATATTCCAGTAATTAATTTTATTTTTAATATGTTTTTTTTTAAATAATAAAACATTTATTAAAATTATAATACTATATCAATATTCTATGTAAAAATATATAATTAAAAGAGACTAAAATAATGTATTTAGGTTTGGTCGGCAGGGCTTAATGACCCATGTATAGATATACATTTGGATCGACAAATTTTGATTGATATTCTTTGTCGTAGGTAGAAGCCTTTTTTGGATCACCTGTGATTAAACGTAACCTTTGCTCTATTGTTGTGAATAATTTTAGGACTTTGGGTCTAAATTATCAACAGGTGTCTAAGACTACCGGAACAAACAAAAGATTATTAAGGTGGCTATATTTATTTGTTTTTGTATTTTTAGCTTTCGTGATAGAGTTGAAAGAAAAAGATCTGGCAAAACGGTCTACACATGTATAATCCCAAGCGAGGGGTATACCTTGGTTTCAAGGGACTAGCGTCATTCCATTAGGGCTGAAGCCAGAGGGTTCCAGTGTAGAAGGAATATTTGCGGATTTCAAGGGGTTTAAGGCTAACGATATTAGTTTTACAAAGGACACATGATGTTGGCGTTACCATTTCACAAAACGAAGACTTATAGCTATTTTAAGTTCTTCGTTGGTTAATAAACAAGCCTAAATTAGAACTAGGTATAGTTTCCTTTCTAACTAACCAAGGTGGCATATGGCTGAGGCTGGAATTATTTATATTAGTTTTACAAAGGACACATGATGTTGGCGTTACCATTTCACAAAACGAAGACTTATAGCTATTTTAAGTTCTTCGTTGGTTAATAAACAAGCCTAAATTAGAACTAGGTATAGTTTCCTTTCTAACTAACCAAGGTGGCATATGGCTGAGGCTGGAATTATTTGATCCATCAAAAGAGTCGTATTGTTGTCATTCTGTATACTCGGGATTGGATTTAAGGGGAGAAAGAGCGATGGAGATTTTCTTGGAACAGTTTTGAAGTGTAAGTATTCAACGCAATGCTATATCAATGATAAATTCCAGTCTCTTTGTCTTAAATTTGGATATGAGCAGCTTGGATAATCTTTGCTCCAGAGGTTTAATGCTGCCATATGATGTGGATTAGATAGTATCCAAGTCTCCAAGTGTGTATGGAAATTTAGCAACAGAGGTTAAAAAGGCTGAAATGCTTAAAGATATGGGGGAATGGATACCTACATCACCTAACTGTTGTGGAAGGGCTCACATGTAAAATTTTAGGAATATTAATAAAAAATATTTAAATAAATAAAAGACCTGATGAGCAGGTAAATGTTTTAAAATATTTTTCATTCTATTGAATTTGACAAGAAATTTATCTCTAAAATGAAATATAGCACTTTCACCTACAATGGGTGAACCTAGGTGGGTAAAGCTAGTTTTGTCCACTACAATAAAATTTTCAGGCGGGTAGTCCGATTCAAGGGTGTGATAAATTAATTTTAAAATAAATTTTTTTTTTAAATTTATTAATTTAAAATTTTGTTTAAATGTCTGATTGTGTTCACAAAAGATATGCAACAATAATATAATTTCCCTTCCAAATAGATTTTCTTTTCTTAAATTGTTACAATGCTGGGTTTTCATAATTTTTTAACCAAATTCAATTAATAAACCTATTTTTAATATTATATTTCTTAACCTATTTAGCACAATATATTCCATATTTTTTGTCCTAAAGTTGCTGGTAATATTTATGGAATTTCATAAGTATTAAATGTATTTTTTTTTTAATTTTACTAAATTAGATTATAGAACTTAGTATAAGGAACGACAAAGATTTAGATTATTTTAGAATTAAATAATTTTCGAATAAACTACTAAATTAGTAATCATTACTTACTAATAAGAAAAAATTTCAGGCCC